CGACAGTGGGAAAGGCAGAGAGGTCAGGAAAGAGGTAGGGAAGCATGAGACGGCTCAGTGCAGCAGTGGCAGGGGAGGAGTAGCGCGCAACTACAGCGTCGTACAAGGTCTGAGCACTCTTGTACTGACTGAAGTGCGCACGCTCAGAGGTAGGGAGGTGGCGACGCACAGCAAGACGTGCAGCAGCATCGCGGGTGGCCCACTAAGAGCGGACAGCGGGATCAGCATCAGCAGCAGGAGCAGGAGAGGCGCCAGAGGTGAGATCAAAGAGAGAAAGGTCGTCAGCCCTGTCGCACTGTAAGAACAGCTGCAGGTCGTCTAACCAGACCTCAAAATCAATGGCGCGACCCTCAGCGTCAAAAGCTAGGACACTAGGGGTAGCCATGGCGACGACAGCGACACAGTGCAAGCAGCAGGGAAAGAGCTCGCAGTGTCAGTGGGACTGTGCTCACCAGGCAGGGCAGGTCGTGTAGGTATGCAGAAAGGCGGCTCAGCGACCTGGCGGCTCGGGTGCTGGGCGGCTCGGCTGCTGGGCGGCTCGGGCGCAGGGCGGCTCGGCTCCCGGGCGGCTCGGCGGCTGGGCGGCTCGGGTGCAGGGCGGCTCGGCTCCCGGGCGGCTCGGCGGCAGGGCGGCTCGGGTCCCGGGCGGCTCGGCGTCGGGCGGCTCGGCTCACGGGCGGTTCGGCTGCTGGGGCGGCTCGGCCAGGAGATGCAGGGGCGGGGCCGTCAGGTGCAGCGGCGGGTTGACCGGTGCAGTGGCGGGCCGGCAGGTGCAGCGGCGGGCCGGCAGGTGCAGCGGTGGGCCGGCAGGTGCAGCGGCGGGCCGGCAGGTGCAGGCGGCGGGCCGTAGGGTGCAGTGGCGGGCCGTAGGGTGCAGTGGCGGGCCGGCAGGTGCAGCGGCGAGGCCGGCAGGTGCAGCGGCGAGGCCGTCAGAGGCGGCGGGCCGCTGGGTGCAGCGGCGGGCCGGCAGGTGCAGTGGCGGGCCGGCAGGAGCAGCGGCGGGCCGAGAGGGGAGGCGGCGGAGCCGCGTCAGGGGAGGCGGCAGGGCCGCGTCAGGGGAGGCGGCGGAGCCGCGTCAGGGGAGGCGGCGGTGCCGCGTCAGGGGAGGCGGGGGAGCCGCGTCAGGGGAGGCGGCAGGGCCGCGTCAGGGGAGGCGGCGGGGCCGCGTCAAACAGGCGGCGGGGCCGCGTCAGGGGAGGCGGCGGAGCCGCGTCAGGGGAGGCGGCGGGGCCGCGTCAGGGGAGGCGGCGGAGCCGCGTCAGGGGAGGCGGCGGGGCCGCGTCAGGGGAGGCGGCGGGGCCGCGTCAAACAGGCGGCGGGGCCGCGATCAGGAAAGGTGGCGGGGCCGCGTCTGAGGGACAGCGGGGCCGCGAGGGAAAAGGCGACCCGAGGGGGTCGCTAAAAAAAAGGCGCGCCTCGGGGCGCGCTTCGGTGGGCCCTAAAAAAAACGGTCCTAAGGCAGGACCCGCTCTATACCATGTGAAGCAAGGAAAACAGGAATGAAATGACTAAGGAAAGATTGGGTACAAATACAACCCTAGAAACCCTGTACCCCATATGTGCTACCCCACTATAGCCTACAGCAACTATGTCATATAAATCTGACAGAACCCGCTCGATACCATGTTGAGATAGAGGCGAGGAAATGAGTGCACTATGAAATGAAACAAGTACAAGTACCAACCCTAATTGGGTTGTACCCCCTATGGGCTACCCCACTACAGCCTAAATATATGCATCAGTAATATAATCATCTGACAGTTTCCTAGTGCATTCATTCCTCGTTCTTTCACACCTATGGCTAGGGAATAGAATGTAATAGGGAATTGTGCGAAGAAATAGAGGTAAACAAATTTTCTAGACGTTGAAACGGTGACATGTTGCATACAGGCCTATCCTTGCACAGATTCACCATGGAACGCACAAACATGCGCCACGTGCTGCGTAATTGTGCGAACTAGCTCAAACTAGTTCCTATGGCTAGGAAATAGGATGTACTAGGGAGCTGTGCGAAGAAATAGAGGTAGAAATAACTTCGAGATGCTGAAACGGTGACATGTTGCGTACAGGCCTATCCTTACACAGATTCACCATAGAACGCACAAACATGCGCCACGTGCTGCGTAATTGTGCAAACTAGCTTAAACCAGTTCCTATGGCTAGGGAATAGGATGTAATAGGGAACGGTGTGAATAGATAGTGGTAAAAATGGCATCCAGGCGTTGACGAGCTGACATGTTGCACACAGGCCTATCCTTGCACGGATTCACCATGGAACGCACAAACATGCGCCACGTGCTGCGTGGTTGTGCGAAAGAGCTCATACGAGCTCCTATGGTTTGGGAATAGGATGTAATAGGGAACTGTGCGAAGAAATAGAAATAAACAAAACATCCAGACGTTGAAACGGTGACATGTTGTGCACAGGCCGATCCTTGCACAAATTCACCATGGAGCGCGCAAACATGCGCCACATGCTACGTAGTTGTGCGAATTAGCTCAAACAGAGATAAACGGGGATCGAGGGGGGTAGTCTTAAATGAATAGAAGAGGCTTCGACAATCTGCTGCAATTCCTCGTCACACACGATAATAAACTGTCGGGAAAAACGGTGCACCAGATATCACCGAATAAACGATAAAAAACCATCAGCCTCCAACTCGAAAACGACCATTACTCGGCAGTTTCACATTTTTTCTGATGATTGGCACAATCTGAGAACATTTGCAAGCAAGTCAGAGGAAAAATATGAATCGCTTTACAGTAGCGTTTTACATACTAAACCAATATTGGTAACTATAGAGTACACATTTACTTACCATACGGGGATTCATTTCGCCTACTGTTTGCGGAACGAAAAAACACATACTGAAAACCCTTTTCGGATTTTTGAGATGAGAAAGAGCTCTTAGGAGAATTCCAGAAAGATAGTAGCAAGATAGTTTTACAAGAGATCATATGATGGCTTACATTTCAGAGGTACATCCTATTATATTAGGATACTAGCTATGGCACCTCGAGCAGGTCGCCATTCACCTTCCTAGAGCTAGGAACAGTAAGGCAAAGCATTTATTATTAGGTACATAGCAAGGCTAGTAGCCTTGTTGTGTAGTCCTAGAACCAATCAGAAAAGTCTAGGAAAACACTAATGTAATGGGCAGAGACTTCTCTGTCTTGTTGTCTTCCAGGTCATCGTTGATCATGATGAGTACGGGCACTGCTGGAAGAAGTTGTAGCTGTAGGGTCTTGTGCTGTCAAGTAATCTGCTGCGCTGTAGGTAGTTCTCTGCCCCGTTGTGTCCAGCACTAGTGTGCTCTCCGTACTTTGTTCCCACGGTTGGAAACTCAGAAAGTCGGGTCGCACATTTCAATGTTGGAGTTCAAACATTGAATTCCCGAAATGCACTTAGGGTGTGTTCCGAATTCTGGTTCGGATCACAAGGAGCTGAGTTGGCGAAATCGAGGAAGGCGAGATCGCCTTTGTCTTGTTACAAGAGCCCAGTGGAACAAGAACCAGTTTAGAATGTGTGCTGTAGCAGCAGCAGTTTTGTAGTAAAGGCAATGATGCCCGAAACAATCTAGCGATGAGAACTCCGATATTCCCGTAGGGTTTTCCCAGCAATGCAAGGGTGCAAACAATGCAAGGGTGCAAACAATGCAAGGCTCGGGAAAAACGGGGGGCGGCAAAGTAAACGTAAGGTTGTTTCTTCCTCCTCTTCTTTAGAGTACAATATTCAAGATGGAACCCCGTTTTTGCTGGCAGGAACAATCACAAATGTACACCCAGCCAAATCTGCCGAATCAACCTTTTGGCTCTTTTAATTACATTGTCCGTTATAGCGGTAACGGACTGGCAGCAGTGAAACCCAGTTTTGGCGGGAAACCAACCTCTGTTCTGTGCAAAAGCCGCCTCGTCGCCCGAGGACGACCCCTGATTTTCCGAAACACGTGTACTGGACACACGTACGACCCATCGTCCCACCCCCTCTTCCTGAACCAGAAAAGTCCCTCCTCCCATGCTCTGTGCACTTGTGCTGCTGTCTGCGTCGTAGGTGCAGAGAAAGTGAGCATGCCGGCATATCTTCGTTAGAGGCGGGTCCACACTTCGCAGCTCAGGTCGATTCTGGTCACGATAACCGTGTCAATTATCGAATGTATTGCGTGTTTGCATTCTCTACACGCATGACCCTTGTATTAGGGGTTAGAAAAGCCCTCAAGAACGAGAATTTAGCCTCTTATATAACCCTGGCGACCACCACTACACTGCATTGACATTCTCATATCAATTAGACGGAAGACATTTGGAGAAGTTGTGCAGACATTTGGCTTGATTTGACAGACAAAAAGAATAGACGGAAAACAGGACATACGGCACAAAACCAATAATTTCTTCTTACCCTCGCATCCCCCGACCTATGGTAGTTGCAGTGCTCACTGACCAGCAGGAGCTGACACTTTCCCAAAAGCTGAGAATTGTGTTTCTTCCTCGAGGGCACTATAATAAAACCAGTGTTCACTAAACCCAGAACCCTTGCATTTCATCTGCAGCTGGTATTCTGCGCGCCCTGACACCCCATCAGCCGTCCAGAACAGTGGGTGGATGAATGCTGCAGTGGCAGCCTGCAGTGCCGAGGTTGACTGGGAAGGATATAAGTACTGGGTGCGGAGCGAGGGCTGTCTGTCTCCTCTCCACCAGCAGCTTGCCATGCCACTGGCGGGCCGTATTGTGCGGGGCTGCTTGGCTCATGACTCGAGATAAGAGGCAGAGGGCCTCCCAGTCCAATAATAGCACAGGTACGTGGCGCCGTATGGAAGGACGGGTGCACCATGCATGTGCTATCCTGCACCCGCACTGCCACCATCACCGTCACTCAGACAGGGCCGCGCAGGCAGGCAGGCAGTGCAGGTGGCAAATGCAGTAAGTGCAGCGCACGTGGGCACGCAAGAGCGCAGGATCGTGGCGGGGTGGGGCGGGGAAGGCGGGTGGATGAGTGCAGCCGGTCAGGGGCGAATGGAGGAGAAGGCGTCAAGGGCAGTGCGCCACACAGCGTCGCCAGGCAGCATGCCGGCGCAGTCCCCCACAGCATGCAGCTTCATGAGCGCCGCCGCACTCACGTCCGCGTGCTGCATTGCATGCGCTGCCGCGGCTGCTGCCTTGCCCCACGTGTCCATTATGCTTGCCATGTCGTTACCCTGTTACACGCGCACACACATACCGCCACGGGGCATGCGGGCACGGAGGCAGCACCATGCAGCACTCTCAGGTGGTGGGTTTTCTCCCGTGAGGATGGGGGAGAGGACGAAACGGAAAAAGGGAGGGCGAGATGGGAAGTGGAGGCAAGGAGAGGTAAGGAAGATAAGGGGAGGAGAGGTGGAGGGAAGAGTGAAGGGGAATGTGAGGAGGGGGGTGCAGCAGGGAGGGCGGGAGAGGCTAACCTCCTTGAGTACTCTGCGCAGGCTGGGCACCAGGCGATCCGGTATGCACACACACGATGCTCCCCCTGCTCCAGCACCAGCAACGGCAGCAGCAGTTCCAGGCGCAGGAGAGGGCGAGGGGGAGGAGGCAGGGGCGATGAGATTGGAGGCTGAGAGGGGTGTGTGGTGATGGTGGTGGTGGTGTGAGTGCCTGAGAGTGGCGGACGCATTGTCCACGTCCGATGCTGCTGATGATGCTGGTGATGCTCCCGCCCTCACACCTGCTCGTGTCACAGGGACGAGTGGAGAGGAGCGGAAGGAAGGGCGGGAGGGCGGGAGGACGAGAGGGCGAGAGGGCGAGAGGGAGGGGGGGAGGGAGGAAGGGCGAGAGAGAGGGAGGGGGAGAGGAAGGGAGGGAGGGACGGAGGGAGGGAGGGCGGGGGGGCGCAAGGGAGGGAGGGAGAGTGAGAGCGCAAAGGGGGCGGGAGGGAGAGAAAGAGAGGGAGGGAGGGATGGTGGGGAGGGGGACGGAAGGCGGGGGAGGACAAGGGAGGGAGGGAGGGAGCAAAGGCGGGTCAGAAGAGAGTGCATGAGTTGAGTTGATGCAGGGAGAAAATGGAGCAAAACAGCAGGATGTGGGGCGCTGGAGAGACGAGACGACAGGGAATAGGTGCCCCCAGAGGGTGCCGTGCAGAGGAACAAACACAGGGCAGAGAACCTGAGGTGGGCAGCGAGCACTGAACAGTGACCTTGAAGACGACTCAGCGAGGTGTACCTTGGTGGTCGGAGGAAGGCAGAGCAGCAACAGCAGGTTGCTGTGGCTGGGGGTGTGAGTCCGCCAGCATGAGCAGGTCCTGCCTCTCCCGCTTGCTGGCGGAGCGCAGTGCAGCCAGTGCGCGCGTGCGTGCGATGGCGGCACACTTGTATGCCAGCGCTGCCGGCGCGTGCAGTGCCGATGCCTCGTATAGCCGCCCTGTACACCTGGGGGCAGGGGAAGAGCGGGCACGGGGAAGAGCAGGCACGGGGAAGAGCAGCCACGGGGAAGAGCAGGCACGGGGAAGAGCAGGCACGCGGAAGCGGATGTGCACACAGGGTAGAGGCGCCGGGAGGGAATGGAGGAAAGAATACATCATTGACGCGCTTACACTGGGGACGGTGGGCTGGGGTGCTCAATTGCGGGAGCGTGAGATTGAGAAGCAGCGGAAAGGGCATGAATGGTGGTGGTAAGAGAGAAGAATGTCATGGCATGGGTTGCTGTGAGGCAGAAGCGAGGTGCACAGGCAGGTGGAGTGGTGCACAGGCAGGTGGGGTGGTGCACAGGCAGGTGGGGTGGTGCACAGGCAGGTGGGGTGGTGCACAGGCAGGTGGGGTGGTGCACAGGCAGGTGGGGTGGTGCACAGGCAGGTGGGGTGGTGCACAGGCAGGTGGGGTGGTGCACAGGCAGGTGGGGTGGTGCACAGGCAGGTGGGGAGGTGCACAGGCAGGTGGGGTGGTGCACAGGCAGGTGGGGTGGTGCACAGGCAGGTGGGGTGGTGCACAGGCAGGTGGGGTGGTGCACAGGCAGGTGGGGAGGTGCACAGGCAGGTGGGGTGGTGCACAGGCAGGTGGGGTGGTGCACAGGCAGGTGGGGTGGTGCACAGGCAGGTGGGGTGGTGCACAGGCAGGTGGGGTGGTGCACAGGCAGGTGGGGTGGTGCACAGGCAGGTGGGGTGGTGCACAGGCAGGTGGGGTGGTGCACAGGCAGGTGGGGTGGTGCACAGGCAGGTGGGGTGGTGCACAGGCAGGTGGGGTGGTGCACAGGCAGGTGGGGTGGTGCACAGGCAGGTGGGGTGGTGCACAGGCAGGTGGGGTGGTGCACAGGCAGGTGGGGTGGTGCACAGGCAGGTGGGGTGGTGCACAGGCAGGTGGGGTGGCAGCTAAACCAGCACAAACCAGCAGAGCACACATCGCGAGGCAGCTAAATGCTGGCAGCACGGGCAGAAAGGGCAGCACGGGCAGAAAGGGCAGCACGGGCAGAAAGGGCAGCATGGGCAGAAACGGGCAGAAAGGGCAGCACATCGCAAACCAGCAGAGCACACATCGCGAGGCAGCTAAATGCTGGCAGCACGGGCAGAAAGGGCAGCACGGGCAGAAACGGCAGCACGGGCAGAAACGGCAACACGGGCAGAAAGGGCAGCACGGGCAGAAACGGCAGCACGGGCAGAAACAGCAGCACGGGCAGAAAGGGCAGCACGGGCAGAAACGGCAGCACGGGCAGAAAGGGCAGCACGGGCAGAAACGGCAGCACGGGCAGAAACGGCAACACGGGCAGAAAGGGCAGCACGGGCAGAAAGGGCAGCACGGGCAGAAAGGGCAGCACGGGCAGAAAGGGCAGCACGGGCAGAAACGGCAGCACGGGCAGAAACGGCATCACGGGCAGAAAGGGCAGCACGGGCAGAAACGGCAGCACGGGCAGAAAGGGCAGCACGGGCAGAAACGGCAGCACGGGCAGAAAGGGCAGCACGGGCAGAAAGGGCAGCACGGGCAGAAACGGCAGCACGGGCAGAAAGGGCAGCACGGGCAGAAAGGGCAGCACGGGCAGAAACGGCAGCACGGGAAGAAACGGCAGCACGGGCAGAAAGGGCAGCACGGGCAGAAAGGGCAGCACGGGCAGAAAGGGCAGCACGGGCAGAAACGGCAGCACGGGCAGAAAGGGCAGCACGGGCAGAAAGGGCAGCACGGGCAGAAACGGCAGCACGGGCAGAAAGGGCATCACGGGCAGAAAGGGCAGCACGGGCAGAAATGGCAGCACGGGCAGAAAGGGCAGCACGGGCAGAAAGGGCAGCACGGGCAGAAAGGGCAGCACGGGCAGAAACGGCAGCACGGGCAGAAAGGGCAGCACGGGCAGAAACGGCAGAAACGGCAGAAACGGCAGCAGCAGAGTGGCAGTGGGGGACGTACTCAAAGAGCTGGGCCGTTTCATTGAGGGTGCGCGCTGCAGCTGCAGCCTGCGAGGCGAGGGCGGGCGCATGGATCGAGGGGTCACAGCCAACCGAGTCGAGGAACTTGAAAGCCGCCCTCATGTACCCATCCGCCTTCTCCACACTGTCCGTCCTCTGCTCTCATTGCACACACACACACACAGGGCATGCGCGCACCCGGGGAGAGGAGTGGCACGCGGGAGGGGAGGGAGGAGTGGGATAGGCAGGCATGGCCGTGCATTGGGGGGAGAGGGGGAGGGAGTGAGAGAGGGTGGTATGGAGAGAGAAAGAGAGAGAGGAAGAGAGAGTGAGAGAGAGAGAGAGAGAGAGAGAGAGAGAGAGAGAGAGAGAGAGAGAGAGAGAGAGAGATAAGAGGAGGGAATAGGGAGCGCGGGCAGCGGATGCAGTAGAAGGGTGCAGCGAGCAAGGGAAAGAAGCAGAGCAGCGGCGCACAGCGCAGCGCAGGAGGGGGGGCGGGCGGGCATGCAGGTGCATTGCACGCACCTTGTCTGCCATGTGTTTGAGATCCACTGCCTCCTGCCGTGCCACCTTCTTGCTGCTTGCATCCACAGCCGCAGCCATCGACCGCCGCACCCCACCACCCACTCCCCCCACCGCCCCGCCACTGCCTCCCCCTGCCACTGCCCCTGTTGCTGTAACAGCTGTGGCAGCTGCGACACCTCTGTCTGCGTGTTGGGCAGTGGGCAGTGCGGCGGGCAGCAGTGCACGGTCTGGAGTGAGCACGTGCATTGGTGCTGCACCAACTGCTGCCCCCGGCCCCAACCCCACTGGGGCTTCAACACACATACTGACTCCAGGCGCTGCCAGCGCTGCTGTACCACCTGCCACACTGCCTGAGCCCGCACCCCCCCCATATGCTGTAGCCGGTTGCCCTGCTCCTGCTGCTCGCCCCCCTGTTGCCAGCGCCCCAGCCGTGAGTGCGGCGGAGGCAGGCGCGGGGATGGCAGCAGGGAACGCGGAGAGGCGTTGCCCCCTAGGAGAGGCGGCAGGAGGGGGTGCTGGGCGGGAGGCAGCAGAGCGCGGAGCAGGGGCAACAGCAAGCGCACCCGTGGCAGCACCAGCAATGTCTTTTGGTGCGGCGTCTGTGGCAGCATGCTGTGGTGGTGCTAGTGGAGCAGGAGCAGCAGCGCTGGCAGAAGCAGCGGGCGCAGAGGCAGCAAGCGCAGGTGATAAAACCCCCGGGTGGTGAGCGGCAGGCAGGAGTGGCGTGCCCTGCTGCACGCCTTCTGCTGTCGCGCCCTCACTGCTGCCTGCAAGGGGCACAGCAGCACTCACTGAGGGAGCAACATCACCTACTGCAGCAGCGGCAGCAGGGACGCCAGTGGGGGAAACAAGAGGGAGCGAGGCGGGTGTGGCAGCAGCAGGGCCATCGGCAGCGTCTTTCTCAGCAGCCCATGAAGCAGACGCCGGGAAGGCACCTCGAGACCCGCCAAACGTCCTCTCCCTCCTCCTGTCCCGCTCCAACTCCCGCCCCCCTCTTCCCCGCTCCCTCTCCCTCTCCCTATCCCTGTCCCTATCCCGGTCCCGGTCCCTATCCCTGTCCCTGTCCCTATCCCGGTCCCTATCCCTATCTCTCTCCCAATCCCTGTCCCGGTCCCTGTCTCTGTCTCTATCCCTGGATTTCCCCGCCCCCCGGTCATCCCACTCCCTGTCGCGCTCACTCCTCCCGTCCCAGTCCTTCTCCCGCCTGCTTCCTCTCTCATCCCTCCGCTCGTCCTTCCCCCTTCTATCGTACCTCCCCCCATCCGCATCCCGATCCCTGCCCCACTCCCTCTCCTTGCCCCGCTCCTTCTCCCTGTCCCGGCTGCTGTATCTGCGATCCCACCCATCACGCCCCTTCTCCCGCTCGCCCCTCTCCTGTGAGGGGGAGTACATTCTTCCACTCCCACCAACGCTCCCTCCAGCCCCATCCCTGTCCCTACCCCCTCCCTCCCCCTCTCTACTAGACCTTCCTCCTCTCTCCTCACCTCTCCCTCTTCCTTGCGCCGACTCCTCCCTCCCGCCCCTCCCCTCCCCTCTGCTCCCACCCCCTTCCCTTTCCTTGCTTCTCCCCCCCACTCCTCTTCCCCCGTCCTCTCTATACCCCGAGCCCCATCCACGCGTGCCCTCCTTCCGCTCCCTCTCGCCCGCCTCCCCCCCTCTTCCCCTCCCCTCAGGCGACCTGCCCGCGCCCCTGCTGCGCCCCCCACGCCCCTCCCCATTCCGCCCCCCACGGGCACGCAGAGAGGACGAGCGGGGGGGGCCTGAGCGGGAGGGGGAGGAGGAGAGTGTGGAGTGCAGGGGCGAGTGCGAGGGCTTGCTGCGACTGGAGCAGGAGGAGCTTGTATCAGACGACCCTGTGCCTGAACTCGTAGAGCTGGTCGTGCTGCTCGTGCTACTGGACGATCCCCGCCACCCCACTTTCTGCCTGCTCGGCGGCACCGGGCGGCTGGTTCTGGCAGGTGGGGCGTCGGGCGGCACTGCACTGGAAGACGCCAGCACTGCAGTGCCGGCAGGAGGGCCCCCAGGGGGAGGGGGGGGAGGTGGGGGGAGTGTGGCGGGAGCAAGGCCTATGACTGCCAGGCCCGTTGCTGCAGTGGGGGCTGGGCAAGGGGCTTCTGCTGGTGTGCCCGTGCTGACAGCAGCAGCAGCAGCAGCAGCAGGAGCAGCAGTAGGAGCAGAAGCGGGAGCTGCAGCAGCAGTGGCAGCAGCAGCAGCAGGAGCAGGTGTGGGGTGAGATGAGAGGGCTGGTGTGTTGGCGTCTCCAGTGGGTGCTGTGAGCACGCCTGCTCTGCCCGCTGCTGCTTGCACATCTATTGCCCCATCCACCGCTGCTGATGCCACCGCTGCTGCTGCTGGGGCAGCTGTGGCTGCACCTGCAGGCACGGGCAGGGGAGACACGAGAGGAGCAGCCTGGGAAGCAGCAGCGGAGGCAAGTGGAACAGATGGAGGAGGTGTGGCAGATGGGGGCGGCGACGGGGCGGCAGGGGGTGCGCCTTGTGCACCTGCCCACACACCGGGCTGGCTTGCACCCTCAACCACCGCTGCTCCCATCCCTTCCTCCTTGCCTTCCCACGCTCTCCCCTCCACTCCGGGTTGCACTGGTGCTGCAGCAGCGGCAGGCGGGGGGAAGAGCGCGGGATGCGGGGGGAGTGAGGGCGGAGGCGGGGGGAGCGCGGAGGGCCAGTGCGCGTGGGGCAAGGGGCGGGAGAGCGAGGCAACGACTCGCTCGTCCTGCCCGTCATCTACATCCATTTCAACCTCCTGCTGCGCTTCCTCCTCGCCCTCCGCTGCCCCGCCTGCACCCACTGCACCCACTGCTCCCCCTGCCCCCCCTGCTGCTACCTCTGCCTGTGCGCCTACAGCAGGGACAGGAGGTGAAGGCTGTCCCTGCATGGCCTTGTCCTTGTCGCTAGGCCACGCCTGTGCGGGGGCCACGGGCGGCACTGCGCGCACTGTGTCCGCTGCATTCCCTGCTAACTTCTCCTGCCTCTCCTGCCTCTCCTGTTTCTCCTGCTTCTCCTGCCTCTCCTGCTTCTCTTCCTTCTCCTGCTTCTCCCAGAAAGCTATTCGCCCGGGCACGTTCACAGCAGGAGCTGCAGAGGAGGAGGAGGTGAGGATGCTGATGGCAGGCCTACCCTGCGCGCCCACACCTACTGGCGACCGTGGAGACTGCTTCCCAGCACCACCGCCAGCACCACCACCGCCACCACTGCCGCCCCCACCCTCTTGTTTCACGCCCACCCCTGCGGCCTCGCGACCACCCACCATCACCCCCGTGTCTGCGCCCTGCTCTGTGCCCTCCTCCTCCCCCCTCTCCGCCTTTGCTCCCCTCTCCTCGCCTACCACCTTGCCACTGTCCCCGCCCTTCCTCTCACTCCCCCAACCATCCCTCCTGCTCGCATCCCTCTTCCCTACCTCCGCCCCTGCTTGCCACTCGCCCGTGTCTCGCTTTCTCTCGCCTCGCCCTCGCTCCTCCACGCCACCCTCCTGCTTCGCCTTCCCCACCTCCCTCCCACCTTCCTCACTCTCTCTCCGCTCCTTGCCCTTCCAATCGCGTACCTCCCTCCCATCCCTCCCATCCCGCCCATCCCTCACATCCCTCCCCTCTCTCCCCTCTCTCCAATCCCTCCCATCCCGGCCCTCTCTACCCGTGCGACCATGCCTGCCCGGCCTGCTGCCTATGAGACCCTCTGCGTCCTTAACCACCCTCTCGTCGCCACCCTTCCCCAGACTCTCTCCATTCCCCCCCGCTCCTGTTTCGGCTGCCAACCCCTCCCGCCGTCCCCTCTCCCTCGACCTCCCTTCCTCACGCTCCCTTTCTCTCTCCCGTTCACTCTCCCTCTCCCCCTCTCTCTCCCTCTCTCGTTCTCTCTCCTTCTCTCTCTCCCTTTCGCGTTCCCTCTCTCTTTCTCGTTCTCTCTCCCTTTCGCGTTCTCGCTCCATCTCCTCTATATCTCGGTCCCAGTCAACCCGACCCCCATCAACAACACCTTCGCCTGCCACGCCACCATCACCAGCAGCAGCACCACCACCACCACCACCAGCACCAGCAGCACCACCACCGGCAGCAGCGGCAAAGCTACGACCATCTTCACTGCTGTCTCGCCTCCTCCGCTTTTCCCTTCGCTCCGCCTCTCCGTCCCTCCTCTCCTCTCGCACCTGCACCTCCCCCTCCACCTGCCTTTTCTTCTCATCCCTGCCCCACCCCTTCTTCCCTTGCATCCACTCGTCGTCCTCCTCCCCTCTCCCTTTCCCCCTTCCCTTCTTCCACTCCTTCTCACCCCCTTTGTCTTTCTTCCCTCCAACCTGCACCTGCCCCACGCTCCTCTTACTCCCTGACCTCCCAAGCTTCGGCGCCTTGCCTCCTTTCCCGCCCGCATCCCCACCCACTGCCGCAGCAGCACCACCACCAACAGCAGCACCAGGAGCAGCAGCAGCGGCGGCACCACCGGCAGCAGCAGCGGCGGCAGCGGCAGCAGCAGCAGCTGCTTGCATGGCGGCGACGACTGAGGGCGGCGGCGGGGGGAGAGTGGCGCCTGGGGGGAGGAGGTGCGTGGGGAAGGGCAGGCCGAGCGAGTAGTAGACTGCTGCTGACGTGCGATACTCTGGTATCTCGCACTGCGCTAACTCAGGCCTGTTGACGCGCAGCCATGAGAGGCGAGCGGCGAGGGTAGAGGGGGGAGGGTATAGGGGGGAGGGTAGAGGGGGGAGGGTAGAGGGGGGAGGGTAGAGGGGGGAGGGTAGAGGGGGGAGGGTAGAGGGGGGAGGGTAGAGGGGAGAAGGGAGACGGGAGAGGGGAGAGCAAAGAGGGGAGCGGGAAGGAAGAAGAAGGGAGAGGGGGGAGGAAAGAGAGGAGAGGGGAGAGGAAAGAGGGGAGAGGGGGGAGGAAAGAGAGGAGAGGGGAGAGGAAAGAGGGGAGAGGGGGGAGGAAAGAGGGGAGAGAGGAGAGGAAAGAGAGGAGAGGGGAGAGGGGAGAGGGGAGAGAATGAGAATGCTGCGGGGGAAAAAAAAAAGACCGAGGGAAGGGCAGAGCAGAATGTGGATGAGCAGTGACAGCCTCTCACAAAGTGGAGCAGGTGCAGAGCTGGGAATGGGGGCAGGCAGGGGGGAATCAGGTAGGCGCGAGGAGGAGGGAGGGCAAGAGAGCAGTGGTGGCATGGGGAGTGTGGGAGGCAGCGCACTCACGTCCAGGTGTTCATGTGGCAGTACCACTCGTCTGGCAGCGACGAGGGCTGGATGGACGGCGGCAGCAGGCGCCACTTGCCACACGCCTCGCACCCCACCCAGTCGTCCTTTAGCTGCTCCGCCCCGCACCCTTCTGCAGCAGCCAGGGGCAGTGCAGGGGCGGTGGCAGCAGCAGCAGCAGCAGGAGTGGCAGCAGCAGGGACGGGCCCATCTCCTGCAGCCCCTCTCTCCCTCGCCACTCCCTGCTCGCCTTTCCCCGCCTTCCCTTCCCACTGCTTTCCACGATCCTTCTTCCCTTCCCGGATACCTTTCCCTGTCCTCTCCTTGCCTGCGCCCCCCAATGCACCGCCTGCCGTGCGTCCCCCTGTGCTGGCAGCATGCGGCAGCCCACCCATACCATCGCCCTCCTGCCCTTCCCCGTCCCACTCCTCCCGTGCTCGCTTCTTTGACCCCCCCGGCCCACCCACCTTGCCCCCTCTCCCGCCCTCCTCCCACGCCCCCTCCACTTTCACCCGCCCACGCCCTTCCTCGTTGCCCTCCCCACCAGTCGCCCCTCCCCCTCGACTCGAGTCCACAGCAGCAGCCCCTTTGGGTGCTTTCTTCCCCACGCCCCTCCCCCCAGCGCCGGCCCCCACCAGGCCATTGCGCAGCGCTGCTTCCCTTGGCGCGCCCTCGCCCGCCCCACCCTCCCCCACGCCCTCCGCCAGTGAGAGCACACGCGCCATGCCACTCCCTGCCGCCTCCCCCGTTCTTCTCTCCCCCTCTCTAGCATCCTCAGCCTCCTCCGCGCCTTCCCTGCCTCTCTCGCCGCCCCCCCCCTCGCGCTGCTCCTCCCACCCCTGTGCGCCCCTCCTACCGCCCTCCCTTTCGCCGTCCCTCTCGCCCTCCCCTTCCCCCCGCCGCCTCACCTCCTTCTCCCCGCCTCGCTTCTCACCGCCCTTCGCCATGTCGCCCTGCCCCTCGCCATCCCTCTCCTCTCTCCCCTGCTTCCGCTGCTTCTTCTCCCTCCCTCCCTCCCTCGCCTTGCCCCCATCACTCGTCCCCTCCTCCCTCCCCGCCTCCCCGTTCCCCTCCTCCCCACCCCGTTCCTTGCCCCTCCCCCTCTCCCTGCCCTCACCACGCCACCTCGCACCCTCCTTCTCCCTCCACCTCTCCCCGCCCGCCTCCTCTGACCCGGAACCACTGGGAACGCCGTTGCCCCACGCGCCGTTCTCCTTCCCCTCACGCACCTCGCCGCCACCACCCACCGCCGCCCGCTCGCTCTCTTTCTCCGCCGCACCCACCACCCCCCTCTCCGCCCTCGCCTCGCCCTGCTCCCCCCCCTGCGCCTTCCCCCGCGCGCCATCCTTGCTGCCGCCGGCCCACGCGCCACCGCCATCCCGCGCCCCTGTCCCTCCGCCCTTCCCCTGGACCGCATCCGTCCCCTTCCCCCGCTTCTTGCTCCCTTCACTCCTCACCTCCACCGGTTTATCCCCGCCCTCCCGTGCGCCCTTCCCGTCCTTCCCCCCTGTGCCACCCTCCTCCTCCAGCCCCCTCTCCTTCCCCCCACTGCCCCCGCCTGACTTCCGCCCAGAAACCCCACCACCGCCCTCCTTTTTCGCGGGTAAACCGGGGCTGTAGCCCGCGCCGTCTGGCGTGCCTAGCCTGGCGCGAGACGCAGGGCTGGCAGAGCGGGAGGCGAGGTGGCTACGAGGAGGGGGAGACACGGACCCCCTCACGCCGCTGCCACTGCCACTGCCTCCGCTACCCCCCCGCCCTTGCGCTTGCTGCGCTGCGCCTGTGGGCGACAGCCGCCACTGCCTGTGCCTTGCGCCCTCGTCCCCCCTCCGCCCCTCGTCCCTCCCAGCGCCCACGCCCTGCGCGGACCCGCTGTGCCCCGCGTCCCTCTTCCCCTTCCCCTCCGCCCCTGCCTGCGCCTCCGCGCGCCCTGGCGCATGCACGCCATTGGCGCGCGCGGGCGGGGGCGGCGCGAAGCGCGCAGGGTTGAGCGGAGGGGGCGAGAGGGGGGGCGGGAAGACGGAAGGTTGGTGAGGCGGCGGCGTGAGGAGCGAGGCTAGCGGCGAGAGCAGCTTCACAGCCACGTGCGCCGTCAGCAGCTGCCACGCACGCACACACGCACACACGGACGCGATACAGTGAACGGTGGGGGCGGGGCAAGGGAGGGCACACGGAGGGAGGAATGGGGAAGGGAGGGAGGTTTAGTCAAAGCCGCCAAATTTAAGGGAAAAAACAAGGGGCGGAGCGACCGGTGGAGTGGAGAGAACGCGAGGTGCATGCATGGCGGCAGGGCAAGGGAGCGGGGCGAGCAGGCAAGGGCGATGCTGGGTGCGTGCGAGGGTGGGAGGACGAGGTGGTGAGGTGAGAGGGGGCGAGCAGGCCGTGCAGTGTGAGCGACTCAGACTCAGACTCAGACTCAGGCTCACCCCATGAATGTCGTCCAGACTCATGTCCCACGCCTCGCTCCTCGCCCGCCCTGCCACGCCCTCCTCTCGCCCTCGCCCTCGCCGCCTCCGCTTCTCGTCCCCCCACTCGCCCCCCCCGCTCCTGCCCGGACTGCTGCCTCCTCCGCCCCCCGCCCCGTTGCCCGCGCCCTCCCGCGCCACGGCCCGCCCGCCCAGCTTGATTTTCACTGACCGCACGCCCCCCTTCGCCCCGCTGCCCTTCCCCTTCCCCTTCCCACTCCCCCCAGTCTTTTCCCCCTTCCGCCCGTCCTGCTCCCTGCCGCCCGCGCCCCCGCGCCGCCCCTCCATAATCCCCTCCTCCTCGCCCTCCCCCGAGTCCCCGCTCCCGTCCCCCCCGCCTGACCCGTCACGCCGCTCCCCGCGCGCCCCTTCCGCCCCTTCCCCGCCGTCCGCGGCGTCCGCGGGGTGGCTGTGGTGGTGCGCGTGGCTGTGGCTGTGCTGCTGCTCGCGCAGCCACGCGGCAGAGGGCCCGGGGATGGCGGCGGGCACGCTGCTGCGCGCCACTGCCAGCACGCCCGACGGCCCCATGTCCGCCTCCAGCAGCGGGATGACCTGCGGGCGCGCGCAGTGAGGGATGGGGCACCGGGGGGCCGGGGAACGGGGGGGTGGAGCACGTGGGGTTGGGGCGCGGAGGTGCGTGAGCTTTGCACAAGAGTGCGCTTTGTGCGCTTTGCACAAGAGTCAGCGGAACGGGTGTGGGGGGGAGGGGGGTTTCAACGAAAAGGACGAGAAAGAGGGAGGGCGGGGGGGAAAAGGGACGAGGGAGGGAGGATGGGGTAGGAAGGAAGAAGAGAGCGGCATGGCAATCGAGCGAGCGCGAGAGGGGCGGCGCGCAGCACCTGCATGCAGTCGCCTTCGCTGCGCGCCGACTGGCCGCCATCGCCCGCCTCCGCGCCTCCGTCCGCCCGACCGCCCACCGCACCGTCCTTCCCGCCATCCTCGCCGCCGCCTGCCGCCCCCGCCCCTCCCGCCGCCCCACCCGCTCCCGCCGCGCCTGGATTACCAGCTCCACCCCCTGCCCCGCCTGCTCCTGCCGTTGTCCCCCCGCCGCGGGATGCGTCTCGCGCGGAGGGCGCGGCAGCAGCCCCCGACGGCGTGACGTGCGTGGGGAGGAACGTGCCGTACTCGCCGTACAGCGGACCTGCCACGCATGCACAGCACGGCACGGCACGGCACGGCGCAGGGCGCGCGCGAACACGGGGAGCAGATACGGTTGAAGCGCAATAACATTAAGCACTTAAGCTGCACTGCGCGCGCGCAATGCCTTCTCCAACGGCGCCTTGCGCCTTCCACAACAGGCGCGGGTCGAGCGGGTGCAGGTGGGGGACGAAAGGCGAGGAACAGAATAGAATGGAAAATAGAGGGAGCGCTGGAGTGTGCGGAGAAGGGGATGGGCGGAGGGGCGGGGAGGCGGGCGCGGGAGCGGACCTAGCGAGACGTTGGTGACGGAGCCCTGAAAGCGGTGCTGCAGATCGCCCAGCGCCGCCGTCAGCCGACCCATGAAGTCGTCCTGCGCGGCACGGGGGGCACGGGGGAGAGGGCGGGGGGGGGAGGAGAGGGGGGGAACGGACGCATGGGGACACCGGCAGTCCGCTTGGGCAGCGTAATGAAGAGACGCGGGGAACGGACGTGCGCGCCGCATGTAAATGCGCGCGTTACATCTTCTTGCGCCTCCGCATGCTGCAGCGCGCGGACGCGCGGGGGAGCAGGAGGCGGGCTGTTCCGCATTCGCACATGCGGAGGCATAGGGTGCGCGGCGAGGGCGCGCACAATTGCAAGATTTTCCCGCGCGTCTCGACAGGGAAGATGCGCGCAGACGAGCAAGGCATGCATTCGCGCACTTATACACGCGCGGATCTAAAGAGAGACCCTTTGCGCGTGGACGATTACGCAACTGAGAGTCCTATGCAGATGCGAGAGAGAGACAGCAAGTCGACCGTGCGATCGTCCCCCAGCGCAGGCAAGCGAAAGGCGGGCCGCGGCGGAGAACGAGACACGGTCGTGCGGAAATCAATTGGGTAGAGATGACTCATTGGCAGTGGCCGAGCAATGGCGCGACGACCGCCGCATGCTAATGGCGCTACAATTGCTTCAACTCGCGTCGCGAGAAAACGAGGCAAGATGGGGGAAAGGCGAGAGCAGATCGGAACGTGGGGACTTTCAAAAACTTGAACAAGCGGAACGGAGGGCGGCGGAGGCGCGTGCGGGGGAGCCGACAAGAAGGGCGAGAGGAGAGGGGCGCGCGGGATGAGAGGGACGGACGCAAAACGCCCGTGTGAGATGGTTCACGTGGCGACCATACGAGCGCGCGCGATAAACCAGTGCGAGCCGCGAGCAAACGATTGCGCGACAAGAGGGCAATCGGGTCCACGGGCGCGCGAGAGAACCAGTGGCGGCGGAACTTACGGATTCGAGAACGCTGGAGGAGGCCATGGCGGACGAATGGCGCAGACGACTCAATTCGATACGATACGATACGATACGATACGATACGAGACGGGACGAGAAGAGCTGCCGCTGCTGCTACTGCTCGCGAAGCGATGCGCGCGAGGCGATGGTGCTCTTGCGAACGACGCAGCTACGAGCACGCGCTGCTCAAGAATCGCACGAAGCAACCTGGAAACGAAGATCGTGCCCGGAGTCCGAGGACCGCCCGCACACGCATCGGGTCCACGTCAGCACCTCGTGCCCGCCTTGGCTAACACCTTCACTGCATTCGCGAACATGCGCCGGGAATCCCTGCATCGCAGCGCGCTTCCCTAGCCCATGCCTATTCAGGTTTAGACCGTGAAAATGCCTCACGGATTAGGGTGAATCGAGTGTGAGATTAGAGATGTCAATAATGGGACACGAGTGCCTGCCAAGCAGAGCGTTGCTGGGGGATGAGAGGCGGGCGGGAGGCGGGAGGCAGGGCAGACCGAGAGATGAAACCCTAACCGCACCCAAGCAAAGTCCGAGAGGGGTCAGAGCTCACTCGGGCCGGAGCTGAGGCTCGGAAGAAGCTCGTCGGGTGAAGCCGCAGCGAGCGGCTTGGCTGGGCAGGCTGGTTCGCTGGCACAGCTTGGACTCAGGGTTCTGCTGGAAGTGGCATTGATTGATGACTTCTGACAAAAGGCGAGAGCACACACAAATGTAGTTCAAATTGGAAAGGATTTTTTTTTCCCTCATCGGGTTTACTGTTAGGAGAACAATTGAGCGAGCGAGCGAGAATTGCACTATCGAAGCAAAAACAGTAAATTGAGCAAATGGATGAGCAAAGGTTATATAGCGAAGCTAGCATGGTAACGGTAACGCGATGAATTCAGGTGCTCTACGAGCCTAGCCCTAGCGCCGGGATGGGGAAATGTCGAGGCGGAGGTCCGCAGCGCGAATTACCAACCGAACCGTGAGGTTGGGTCGCGTCGTGAGCAGTGGTGGGAACGGTGGTAACGGTGCACTGTTGGGTACTGTTGGCGTGAATAGGCCCCTAGATTCGTTTTGAGGTAGTCTGACGCCTCAGAGTACACCCCTCTTCCTAGTCTGGCTGTCAGAGTTACCTTTCTTGTTTTGTCTGAAAATTTAGACAAGCACAACTTTTTTTGTCCGAACTGTTAGAGTTATGTCAGAATGAGAACTACAGCGGAATGCATTGTGTTGACAGGATTGGGTACATCACCTAACCATAACTAGTTGTACCCCATATAGCCCAACCCACTACAGGCTATAATATTTGACACACCCCCATAGCCTAAGTGGGGAAGGCCAATCAACAACAAGCAACCTACGGTCACAAGACCAGTCAAAAACAAGAGAAAGAAAAACAAAGCTCAGGGTGGATCACAACGTCACCACCTAATATGAGCACAAGCAAAGGCCACAAGGCCAGTCCAAAAGTGTGCAAACAAATATATATATATATATATACCGTATATAAGGTACAAACAAGCAACAGACAAAGAGCACCCTACAGCAGTCAACTAGACCCAGTCTCAACGAGGCCTAACTGCAGACAAAACCGACGGTGGTCACAAGGCTGGAGGGCCTTGGTGAAGATGTCTGCAGTGTTGGCCTCAAAGGCCACAAAGTCCAGACGAGCCTGTCCGCGTCTCTGCAACTCTCGAAGGGGGAAGTACCTGACGTCGATGTGCTTCACTCGGCTCTCCAGTCGAGGCTCACGACACAGGAGAATCATCGCCCTGTTGTCAGCAAACAGGGTCGGTGCAGAGCTCGGCCGCTCACCAAGGTCAGTGAGCAAAAAGGTCAACCAGCGTAGCTCCTGAGCAGCAAGGGCCCCAGCGTAGATCTCGGCCTCTGCGGTAGAAGTCGCAACAGAGGAGGACCGAGTAGACCTCCACGAAACAGCTCCAGAACCCAGGCTGAAACAGTAACCCTGCGTAGACCTCTTAGTCTCAACGTCGTCAGCGTAGGAAGAGTCACAGTGACCGGTGAGTACAACTGGCTGTGTCCCTCCAAGTACAAGCCCCATGCCTGATGTCGCGCCAAGGTACTTCGCCACCCTCTTAGCCGCCACCCAGTGAACAGGACGGTGTCTCCCAGTCGCAACAAAGCGAGACAGGATGCTAAGGGGGAAGGCGAGGTCCGGGCGAGTGCACGTCATCAGGTACATGAGGCAGCCCACCAGCTTTGCGTAGGGACCACTGGGCTCGAACGGCTCGTCAGGAAAAGGCCCAGTGAGTCTGTGGTCTACAGCAAGAGGAGTGGGGGCAGGAGAAGAGTCCTGAAGCCCGAACTGCTGAAGAACCTGCTGCACCATGTGTGACTGAGTGAGAGTGATGGTGCGAGCGGCTCTGTCCCTGGAGATCTGCAGGCCAAGGTAGCGGCGCAGTTCCCCAAGGTCAGTGCAGGTGTGTCTCTTCTGCAGTTCGGACTTCACCTCCGCCAGTGCAGCTGTGTCGGCCGTGGCAAAAACCAAGTCGTCAACGTAGACTAGGACGAAGAAAGGTGTACGGCCACGACGAACAAACAGCGACGAGTCGGCGGAAGACGGCTCAAACCCGAGGTCGGAGAGAGTAGAGCGGAGAGTGTCGTGCCACTCACGGGGTGCCTGGCGGAGACCGTAGACCGGTCGTCTGAGGCTCCACTGGGTCCCAGGCGGGAAAGTGCCAGTGAAGCCCGGAGGACGACGCAGCCAGATCTCCTCGTGTAAGCAGCCCTGGAGGAAGGCAGTGGAGAAGTCAAGAGAGTGTAGCTCGTAGTCTCTCTGCGCTGCTACGTGCAGTAACACCCGAAGAGTGGTCATCTTCGGGGTGGGCGCGAAGGTCTGAAAGAAGTCAACCCCCTCGCGCTGACTGAACCCTCTAGCCACGTAGCGTGCCTTGAAGACTGGGGGAGATCCCGGCGGCCGCTTCACCTTGAAGATCCACATGCCGTCAACAATGTTCGCCCCTGGGGGGGGGAACCTCGTCAACGTAAGTGCCTGTGGACCTGTAGGAGGCCATCTCTGCGTCCATGGCAGCTCTCCACTGAGAGGCCCAAGGCCCTGACACTGCCTCAGCGTAAGTGCGAGGAGTAGGTATGTCAGGAGCGTCGGGGTCTCCCTCAGGAGTGAGCAGCATGGCACAGAGATGAGGCGAAGCAGCTGCCAGGAACTCTAGCTCAAACTGTCTGTCCTCTAGGACGTCACAGCCAAGGGCACACACACCCCCGGCGGACAGAGGACGGACAGGAGGAGCTGCCACAACTCGAGTGGCGTAGTCAAGGCGACGCGTAGCAGTAAAGTCAGTGACAGCGGCAGTGAGGACCGTGACGGAGGAAGGAGAGGCACGAGGGTCTGTAACAAGAGAGGCGAGAACACGGGAGAGAGTGGGGCGGTACGTGCGGTAGTAGTCAGTGACCGGGGTGGACAGGGAGGCAGTGAGGGAAGACTCAGGAGGACGAGGAAGGACAGACGGAGGAGAACGAGGAGGACGAGGACGAAACAACACGGTACGGAGGTCAGTGACAGGGGACGAGGGACGAGCACGAGGAGGGCGAGAGGCCCAAGTGTGGGCGAGAGGAGGGGGGGACGGAGGAGACTGAGAACGAGGGAAGACAGCCGGAGTGGAGTCCGGAGGAGGAAACGTGGGACCGAACACAGGAGGAGAGGAGGGGAGACCAAGGGCCCGAAGGCCAGAAACAGGGGCCGGAGGCTGCTCCGGCAGCTGCGGCGGGTGCTGCTGCTGCTGCTGCTGCTGTGGCTGTGGCTGCGGCTGCTGCTGCTGCTGCTGCTGCTGAAACTCCAACCGCTCACGCTCCACCCGCTGCTGAACCTCCGACCTCTCACGCTCCAAACGCTGCTGCTCCTCACGCTCTAGACGACGAAGGGCCTGGTAACGAGTCGGGTAGGGGTGAGGAGGAGGAGTGGTGTCAGGAGACGACGAAGAAGAACCGGCTCCACCCTCGACAGGACCCGGTTGAGCACCCCCAGAGCGAGGACCCCCTGCGGCAGCACGACCAGTACCTGTAGGAGGTGTACCCGCACCCCCAGTCGTGGCGCCGCCAGTGGCACCAGCACCAGCCCCAGACTCTCCAGCTCCAGAAACACCACCAGCTCCAGCACCACCACCGACTCCAACACGCTCGGGACGTGCAGCTGCGGCAGGTGCACGCTCAGCTCCAACTCCAACACCCCCAGAACCAGCACCGCCAGAGCCCTCACCTCGAGCACCAACACCCTCAGAGTCCGCAGTGGCCGGGAGAGGAAGCGCTGACGGCTGCTGCGGAGGCTGTGAGGACGACTGTGGGGAAGGGGGAGAGACCTGGGGGGG